GGACCACATCCACGTGATAACAAGGCTCATTGCATATCGCAAGAGTACAAGTACAAAAGACCGCTCTGTCTCCCTTTCATCGGTTTACAGAAGGCCTTTGATTCAGTTGAGATGGAAGCAATCTGGGAAGCACTTGATAGTCAAAGAGTCCCTACTCAGTACATAAAGATTCTTCGTGATCTGTACAAAAATTTCACAACCAAAATATCACCATTCTGTAACGATATTAACATTGACGTCAAAAGAGGAACTAGGCAAGGCGATACCATCTCGCCAAAATTATTTACCACCACCCTCCAAAACGTCGCGCGAACATTGGAATGGGATAATATGGGAGTGGAAATCGACGGTCGGGAGTTACACCATCTTCGCTTTGCTGATGACATCGTCCTTATGACACCAAACACTAGTCAAGTGGAACGTATGTTTGACGACTTTGGAAAAGCCTGTGGAAAGATTGGTCTTCGGCTAAATCTCTCAAAAACGATGTTCATGAAGAACGGATTGGTTTCGCATGCCCCGTTCACGCTCAACGGAACGTTATTCTATATCTCCGAATGTTCCAGTTATGTCTATCTAGGTCAGGAAATCAATATGTTGAACGACTTAGCGCCAGAGTTGAGCAGAAGGAAACGAGCTGCCTGGGGAGCTTTCAAGAGCATCGAGGATAGAGTGAGGAGGACAAAGAACACCCGACTCTGTGCCCACCTTTTCGACTCCAAGGTACTTTCTGCCCTAACGTATGCGTCAAAAACCTGGTCACTGCGTAAGCAGGATGAGAGATCACTCAGCGTTATTGGACGTGCCAAACTGTTGAAGATAAGATGGGTGGGATACGTAATGCGTATTAATGACAACCGATGAACAGGAGCTGTTAGTGACTGAATTCTTCGGGATGTCAAACGCACTGCAGGAAGACCACGACCCATGGTCAGAGTTTTTCACGAAAGGCCTTGAAGAGAGATATGATGCTCAACGAGTCCTCGATCGAGTAGAACCCATTGGGCTACTCTTGCACGCGACAGGGAGAAATGGAACATTTACTGGCGCCCGCTCGAGTCACTCGACGATAAACAGGACTACAGGTGATACAGGTGAACCTTTCGGAAAGTCGGTCTCTAAGCTGTATATTGATTTCTATGGATAGATATCCGTTTACTGAGTCCAGAGTTGAAATGTACTCGGAGATCTAATTCAAAAGCTCAGCCTTTGAAGACTTCATGAATGCTGGCGTGTGTGAGCATGACTGTGAAGTAGAGAGGATCCTACAGCATCAGTCATATGCGGTAGCAACATTTGCCGGTATTTTTTTTCATTCTAGCAGGACCTAACCGAGATCTTTGCAATATTTCCAATTCATTCGACAACCTGAATGTGACGATTGCCAACGTGGCGATTGAAGGTCGTCTTGCGTGTCATAAATCAGATCATCTTCAGAACAGGTTTCCTCAACACATTCTGCTGCCATGTGCTACCGGCAGCCTTCCTACCTTCCCTCCTTCTTTACTGCTTCTCTTTTCCAACGTATAAATCCGAAAACACCTTGGGAATATTGGTTTCGCTTAAAATCCTGGCAATTATAACGTTTTCATGCCATTGGTGCTCATGCAGTTGTACAATCGAACCAATGTTTGAATCTTACCCATGTCTAGTAACATCGCCATCCATTTAAACATTCTAGTACTACGAATAAACAATTCCCAGGATCGACTTTCTCTTAACCTCGGCATTGGAATATGAATGCGTCGTTTTCTTGTTCAGCAATCGCGAGGTTTTTAAACAGCATACGTTTACTTCCATAGAAAAACACAATACAATGCAACAGTAGCCGACGTTTCGACAGTATCGCCTTCTTCTAATAAAAACCGCACATCAATTTTGACCCACTAACCATTCTCGTTGAAAGGCGACCCTCCAGAAAAGAAGGCGATACTGCCGAAACGTTAGCTACTGTTGTATTGTATAGTGTTTTTCTATGGAAGTAAATGTATGCTGCTTAGCAACCTCGCGATTGCTGAACAACAAAACGACTACGAATGAACTTCGACCGCTGAACGATGTACTCCGTTCGTGTTTGAAAGTTTCCAATTTTTCATGTAAAAAATTTTTCCAATAGTTTTCTTCTCTACTGTGTTCCTTATTTTATTTTATAAGTGACTGAATACGTTTTCTATCCACATGTCATCTGGATGTATTAAATCTTCCCTAGAATGGATGTGACAGCGCAGCCAGTGTTCCAGCAGAACGGTAGATTCTACCGTAACTATGAAGAGGATCCACAAAACAAAATAGAGGCACGAGTAAAAGGCCACTACTACCTTCAACACCAGCGACAAACAGTGCAATTCGTAGACGAAATGGTAAAAAAAAAGCCTGTAAAAACAATTCTTTATATCTCTAAACCTTTTTGCAGCACCACAAATGGCTTGGTTTCAACCATGACCGAATGGCAATTATGGAGGCTTTGGATCTGCTCTCTAATTTCCTGGATGAAAGCGATCCTGATGTAAGGATGACGATTAAGAAGCTAAAGAACGTTGACATACGAAGCACAACAAGTACTATGTAGTTAACGAAAATTTAATCTGCATCTTCCTTTTTTTCGACTGAACTTCTAATATCATCCACAAACACTTTTTAAACAGCCGTTTTCGAATTTTGTAAGGGCATATGTTAAGTACTGTAAAAGAGGTCTACATTATGATTGTTTTTACTGAGTCCAAGCTCAGGTTGATGTTGCGAACCTGGACCATGCATATCAAACTGCGGAGCGGCTACGCAAATCCCACCCGGATAAACCGTGGATGCACCTTGCAGGACTGGTTCACGATCTGGGCAAATTGATGAGTGTGAAGGGAGAGGAACAATGGGCCGTGACAGGTAAGTACGTCTCATATATTAACGGGGCCAAACTCTTCAGGAAAAAAGGAGTGTGAAGATTTCTCACGCTCGCAGTTTTTCTAGCACTAATCATTCTTCTTTCTTTAATTGCGGTTAAGGATATGAAAAAGAACTAAACCTTTTTTTCTTTATACTATACCAGACTTTAGCTTCGCTAGCAGTACGAACTCTTTCAAAAGTGGAATATTCATGAATATCAACATATCGGTGGGCACGTGAAGCGTAGTAAGTTAGTGGTGGCCTTTGCCAAAATGAGTTGGCGGCTGGTACGATTCCTCGCGTTTGGCCCAAGAAGCTTTGTATTCAAGCATGGTCGATAAATTGGTTTCACACATATCTGCAAGATAGAAATACTAGCCTAGTACATTGGTAGGTTACTGCAAGTTAAGATTAGTTATCTACTCAATCATCTCTGACGATGCTTGATGAAATCGAATATGTAGCGCACCCCTCAGAGAATGAATGATCATCGCCGAATCAATACTCCCTTTTTCTTTAATAGAAAGTTCTCAGCAATAATCGTTTTCCGTTTTGAAAAGGATTAGATTGATATTTGTGGAATTGAGAGGTTTGAAAAATTTCAAGAAGTGCTTACCATTAAAACTGTCTAAATACCTAAGTTTTCCTGCGCACAATTCTAACTCTAGGGGACACCTACCCAGTTGGCTGTGCACCGTCGGAGGAGATCGTTTTCGGGACCAGCAGCTTCGAAGGCAATCCAGACATTCTCAACCCGAAATACAAGTTCCGCACTTCTCTTTTTACGAGTGTACACTACAGTTTCTTATTAACGAAGTCATATTTATAGCACAGAACTGGGAATGTACCGAGCTGGTTGTGGATTGGAGAATTTGAAAATGTGCTGGGGCCATGATGAATATATGTATCAAGTTGGTTTCTTCCGAACATTCAAATTAGCCTTGTTATAAAAGAAATCCCAAGATAAAATATTGAAGAAAGGAACGCAAAGTGTGCAAAACAGTCTATGCGAGAGCAGATATGGCTTTACGCCTGGTTCTTCTGGGCTCCTACGTATTTTTCTTTAACTAGCGACTTGAAAAGTTGAAAACTTGATGGTTCACTAGACTACTGCGTCGCTGTAGCAGGATATGTCCTCGTTCTAAAGTGTTTTTGAAGTATATTGTTATACTGATAATCTAACAGAGAGTTTCAGCATTTTAGACTACTTATGATCTTGCGACATTTTTGAAAACCGATCCTCCTTCAATACTAGGATGAGTAACCAATGAAGAAAACAAAGGCGCCGAAACGTCAGCCACAATACCAAATTTTTGGAACAACCTCGTTTTAGCCTAGCAACGCAAAAAGCTATCGATCACTCACATTAAAACCAAATGAAAGTTTATTTTCAACAATGTTGTTCTGAAATTCTCTGGAATCCAAAAGTGCAGCGGTCAGAAGAGCGAAATTCCAATAGTTCAATTCTCAAAATGTGAGCCCCAACGAAAATTAAAGCAGGAAAAAAACGTTTCCAGGCACTAGATAGTCCCAATTTTATCTTAATAAAGTAAGAATGAAAATAGAGGGTGTGTGCCGCAGTGGTCAGAGGCGCCCTGCAACACATGAGTGAAATCGATCCCTGCGCCCATGGCCCACCAAGCCTTCCACCCCTCCCGGGATCGCAAACTGGTGCCAGACTTGTCTGCGAGGATATCAGCACTGGTTCGATACATCGGTAGGGCACCGCGAGTCATTGTAAATGCCAGATGTGCGTGCATTCACCTCGAACGATGTTTAGTGAAGTCGAATGCATGGCATATCCCTCAGGAATTGATCAACAACGAAAACATTATCCTTTATCCATTTATACCAAACATCGTCACTATTGCATTGGATTGACAAAACTCTGAAATTTTTAGTGGCTTTTGTTTCCATTAATATCTTCGCTTGAAGTTGACAGCCGTTAATATTTTTGGCTACGTTCAAACCAGTTTGGAATCAGTTCATATTGGGTCTACTTGTCTAAAGCTGGCAAATTTCTTTTGCACACAGAGGCTTCTCAGGAGTCTTCTCTCTAAAAATCACGTGCTACAGGTGCTGGTGAATCACGGCTGCAATCTGCCAGAGGAGGCTCTCTACGCTATCCGCTTCCACTCCTTCTATCCGTACCACTCGCACAATGCTTATCGGCAATTCGTCAACGACAAAGATCGTAAAATGTTTGGTGCAATACTGATGCTCAAGTAGGCCTTTCCATAAAAATAAATAATAATAACCAGCAATTCCTAGCGATAAAAATAATGGCTATCCTTTCCTAATTACTGGATGGTGTTCTTTAGTGTGAAGCTGAAATCTGAGAGGAAATTTTTTCCTAGCAGTTTTTCCCAAACCATTCGAACCACCACCTGGATTAACTCACTGTGAGAATCGCTGTCCTCGCCAATCACTGTCTTCCCGAGAAGATTCTCAGTTCGAAGTCTACAGACCTCTTTCTTGCAATCGGTTGTCGCCAGCGATTGCATCGGTTGTAGAACAACGAAAAGGTTAAAATAATTGTCCGCACTAATGAGATATGCGGCAGCTGGTTATGGTAAGCAAATACTAATAGTAATAGTCACAAGCAAGGAAATAACAATACTAATAGTCGCAACTACCATCTGTTTGACGGTGGTGAGAAAGTTCCTTTTAATTCATACATGGTTTATTGGTTCTATTTTACGCAGTTTAATGACTGAGCCCCTCGGTACGACTAACTACTAGGTACTGGGCTTAGTTAAACAAGATGCAAATACTGATTTGATACATTGGCAAGCCACAGCATGTTTGTATAGAGCAAACATGCATTCATTCACCCACCGCTGCTATACTTAATTGAGCCGAATGGGTTGATCAGGAACGATGCATTCCTCATAGATTGTTCAACGGACACCAGGAACTTCACGTTTTGTCACCTGCTATTCCGTTATTCATCGAGTAACTTAAGGGTAATGAGCAAGATTTTCACATTTTTCTGGTGTTCACAAGAGTGGCTTGATTATGCTTATACAAGGAATGACCACGGTGTCACACTTTATATGAGGTGGTTTTTTCTAACTCTTCTTAGCGGAAAGATAGCTCCAAGTAGCTCGCTACATTGTGAACTTTACTTTAACCCCTTAGCTGATTTTCGGAATAGAAATGTCGAACTACGCCTCAACTTGGGCGAAAATGCTGGGCGTACAACTGAGCATTGCAGTTTGGTGCATAGGAAATACTCCAGCCACCAATGACCAGTTTATGAGAGAACTAAAAATAATATTTAATAACAATAACGACAGTAATAAAGTCAATCGTATCTTTACAGTCGTTTCCTTAATGACCAAAGATTTTGCTTATAAGTACTTTCACTTGGTTGGTTATTATAAAATATTTATTGGGCTAACGTTTCGACTTCTTCATCTTCTTCACAGCTAGATTAATTCGAGCTCATAATCCACAGGTGGTCGTCCTGGTTGTTCGTTATGCATCGAGCCGAATCCAATAAAATGGATCATCTATCGAGTGAAGAAGGAAGGGCGACGACCATCTGTGAATCATCGATTCGGATCAATCCTGCAATGGTGAAGATATGGACACAATAAAGCGTTCGTCGAGTGAATATTTTCATACTAACCTCCTGTCTGAACCAAGTACGGATCTCCCTCATATGAGGGATCGAGGCGGCTAGTCGCCACGCTACGTGGCGCATCCCAAGGTGGCAGATAGGGAGTTAATTGCGGATCAAGATCGACATTTGCTTACCTGAGACGCAGGTTGATCCAGGTAACGGACTCCATGTTTCTGCTGTGCCGGTTTGGCACATACTTTTTGTACTTGCTAGGCGTGTTCATGAATGCCTGTGTAGGTGCGCTCTTGCTTATGCGGATTGTATTCTATGAGTCAATTCGGCCAAAAGCCTGCAATCAAGTGACAGGGAACTATATGGGAGGTGGTTAGGAGCCTCTCCAACAAATAAGCTCCACGTCTACTCTGGGAGAGAATGGCAAGCTACCCATGAGTATACACAGCCCCCACGTTCAAAGCCCAGCAAGCTGTACGTGGGTATCAAAAGCGCTAAACAGTAAAAAAAAACAGACCTTATTCTCCTGACTCCGAAAAAAGCCCTCAATTCCGCAGCGTTGGGTAGGACGAGTACGGAGAGG